GATGACGGCAAAATAATTAATATTAGTTATAATTTTGGTTTTGATGAAGAAAGTTATGTCGATTAATAATTAATAATAATTAATAATATCCATGGTAATGATTAACATGGCATTCAAGAGTATTCGTATCTCCAAATGTTTATGAGATGTACTCTTGTTTAGTCAAGCCTTGCTGCAGTGAAGAAACTACGTAAAAGTTATGTGACAATCGACAGGACGCTATTACTGGAATTAAAACAGGTATTTAATGAAACGACCGATCGTTTTACACACTGAAGTAGTCACAGTTGGTTGGTTTTGGTTGGTTGGTTGGTTGTTTGGTTGGTTGGTTGGTTGGTTGGTTGGTTGGTTGGTTGGTTGGTTGGTGGGTTGGTGGGTTGGTTGGTGGGTTGGTTATTGTTTGTTGGTTAGTTGGTTGGCTGGATAGTAGATAGATAGAGTGCGGATTGAAATATCCATCATTCAGCCAGTGATCGATTTCTTTCATAGGCAATCGACGCTCARCACCCAAAYATCAATCGCTTCATTGGCGCATGCGTAGAGCCTKGTAATATTTKGGTCTTGACAGAATACTGTAAGAAAGGAAGTCTGCAAGTAAGTGAATATAGTAGAAACCATCAACCATACAAAATGCATTTATCTCAATAGCCGATTTGCATTATGGCGTCATTTACTACAACTACCAGAATGCTTTGCCAACTTTCTTTTGTATGTCAATTAGTGCCAATTGTTTTATTAATCTCCAAGGGGATTATAAATCTGAATAACAATGGAAATGCGCAAGGCTCTCTGGTAGTTGTAGTAAAGTTACGCCATCATGCAAATGACCTATCGAATTTATCATTCTGTAGGATGTGTTGAATAACGAAGAAATTAAGYTGGATTGGATGTTTCAAATATCATTCGCATCAGACATTGCTCGAGTGAGTAGAAACCGTGAAATCGTTATAAACTGCCTTTGTCAATGACACGACTACGTCTGCGACTACAATTTTCATTACGCTTATGTTTACGGCTGTAAATGCGTTTACGATTTCATCTACGTTTCTGACTGTGACCTCTACTTCCAAAATAGTACGTATAAGATAACCAATACGACTAAAACTACGTTTACGAGTGCGAATATGACTGTGACTACGTTTGCGTTTACGACTAATACAACGACTACTAATAGCATATACTATTCAGGGAATGAACTACTTGCATAAAGGACCTATTGGTATCCACGGCCGTCTCAAGTCCTCAAACTGTATGATAGATAGCCGCTGGGTATGCAAAGTCAGTGATTTCGGGCTCACCAAGTTCTGTGAGGGTCAGACGCCTGACGATGATCTTGGTGTTGACGCTCAATATAACAGTACGTAGATTATTATTATTTGTATGTCGGTTGGTATAGAATGATTCGTTGGTCGACGACTCGAACCCTCCCTTTTTCAACGCGCTTGAAGAAGTTGATGGGAAGAAGGGAGAAAATTCCTAAATTCCTTGATCGTTTCTCGTTACCATGCTTCTATTGGTTTACTTTCTTTGCTCCTCTCATTATATTAACTCATACTTAGTTTAGTCTAATCTCTTCTACGACCAAGGATTAACGTCCGAAACGTCAGAGAGTTGTTTCACCTACTTTTTACGGTGTTAAATTTATCCTTTTACACAACAGAAATTCCTTCTCAC